CAGAGTTGCTAAACTTTCTGCCACTAAAGAACAAGGATCTCCTTTCTCAAATGTCCAGTAACATTTCTCTCACTTTCCTTTAAGCTCACACCCACAGCCTCCCCAAAGGCCAACACGCTTCTACCAACAGTCTGCTCAGGTTGAGCAGGCTTTCACCAACGCTTCAGAGTTTCCCCAGCTTGGATCCACCGCTGAGTTCCAAGACAGTTCTCCATTTTAGGTTTTTGTTATGGCAAAACAAAATCACTGATACCAAAACCTGTATTATCAATTGCTACATAACAAGTTACCCCAAAAGTTAGCACTTTGAATACAATGAACTTTTACTGTACAGTTTCAATGGGGCAGGAGGGGCTCAGCCAGGCAGTTCTGGACCAGCATCTCATGAGATTGCAGACAATACACTGATCATGGCTGTAGTCATCAGAAGGCTCTACCTGAGTGGGGTTTACTTTCAAGATTCCCACAGCTGTCAAGTGCACGCTGGCTTTTGGCTTATAGTTCCATCTTCTTCGTGGGAAAGGAGCTTAATGGCCACTCCATATTTACATGTCTCTGGATGATGCTTTTCCAAGGTATCCATCAGGCTGAATTGCTTTCTGAACTAGCATAGCTATAGCTTATCTTACATGATTTAAATCACAAAATTCAAGCAATTCATTATTTCACTGCAATTTTATGGGTAACCTGCTGAAACCATTTTTATAACATATAGAAAAACTCAGTAGTGACTATCAAAAGCTGAGGATTGTCTCAGTTTAAGGGGCTACCTCGTCGTCTTCCACTAGATCCCTAAACCAAAGATTCAGGGTCCTAATGTCAATAACAGCACAATAGACACCACTCCACAGCTTCTGACACCACCTCTAGTGATACTACTACACCTCTGATTTATGTTGTGAATGAAAAATTTTAATAGATTCTATAAAATTAAAGATAAAAGATATAAAGAAAAGGGAGATGGCTAAAATATAGGATACATTAGAAGAAAACCAGAAAATAAAAGAAAAGCATACAGGCAAAGTTAAAACACAAGGGCAGAACTTTCTAAAATCCACATTGTACAAATCAAGTTTGTATCAAAAGAACAGGAACTTGAATCAGCAAAATAGAAGACAAACTACAAAAATTCACTGAGAATGAAAGAAAAAAGCAAAAGATACAAAACATAAGGGAACAAAGGAAAAATATAAAGGGTAGGAAGCAAATATCCAATCAAAAATAATAAGGCACCATGCTACTATTGTGGATTAAAGAGGACCACAAATTCTTTCCCATTCTTTCCATCAAGAGATGGACTATCTCTCCCCACCTTGAACCTAGGTTGGCCTTGTGACGTGTTTGACCAATAAAATGTATGAGAATAAATGCTTGTGCCAGCGGTGGAACTAGCCTTGAGGAAGACTGACAGCTTCCATTGTCAGAAGCCAGTCACATGCTCTAAAGTGGTCAGGCTGCACTGCTGGAAAACAGCACCATGGGGAACTGAGGGACTCCCAGCCAGCACCCAGCACCAGACCCAAATACGGGAGCACAGCCTTTTTAGACCTCCCGGTTCAGCCCAGCTACCTTCTAAATGCAGCCACGTAAGTGACCCCAAGTGAGATCACCAAGAACCATCAAGCCAAACCACAGAATCACGAAAAATAACAAATCATTGCTGTTTTAAAGCCACCAAGTATTGGGTGGTCTGTTATGAAGCAGCAGATAAGAGATGCAGCTGATCTAAAACAGACAACACTACCAAATACATGGACATATCTGCAGTCTGCAGCGTAAGATACTTGTGTCCTAAGTCCTTGCTGGAAATATTATCTTAAACTGTTTGAAAACTCAGCTTGTTTCAAAAGCCTGGTTGAAAGTAACAGATTTTCTATTTCTCAAATTGTCTTCTATCATTTACTTATTTGAAAAAATATTCTAAACTCTATCCTAGGATTAAGTCAACCATGGAAGATTGAAGAATAAATTTTAATATTACATCCTCAAATTTTACTGATATCTACTTTAAGATGTTTTCAGAAAATTCCACTTGTGTAAGTGTATTCTCATTCTCTCACTCACTCCTTCATTAACAGTGCTTGAGGACTGACTACGCACTAGGTATTGGAGTGGTAAAGATGAATACAGAAACTATGAAGCAGAATCAAGGGCAGGTAAAAATTTTATTGCTCCCCTAACTGTTCCAGAAAGTCAATCCCTGCCTAGTCTGCACTCCCAAAGTACTTTGTACAAATCTCTATTTTGTAATAATAGAAATAGCAGCTAAAATTTATGAAGCACTTACTATGTGTCTGACATTATTCTAAGCCTTTCACACGATTTAACCCAGTTCTCACAACAATCCTCAAGAGGTAGGGAAGAACAATCAATTATCCCTATTCTACAGATGAGGAAATTGTCTCATCTGAAAGGTCTTTTTTCCTCACTAGACTCCAGAGTCCATGAGGGCAGGTGGCCCAATTCTTCACCTTCATATCCTCCCCAGTCTCCAGCACGTATTTCTCTATAAGTAAATAAATAAATCAGTTTACGCAAATGCTAGAAATTAATACGTTCATTTCCTCTACAAGGACAATTTTACACTCCTCAATGATGATAACTTTTTGGACAAAGAAAAAATGGCTTGGGGCTAAATAAATATCTCTGGTTGACTGGTAAGAAAAATTAACATAGGATAAAAGTTTATCAATTTATTGATAAACACAACTATTAAGTCCTAAACATTTACAAACAAGTCTAACTTGATAGTAATATAGTATATTCAGCACCATTTTAATGCTGAAACCCATAAATATCACAATGACAACTACACAATTCAGCATTTTAAAAAGTTTTTTTAAATAAGTCAGTGACAGGAATAAGAAAATAAGAAGGCCTATCAATTAAAAAATGTGGATGAAAAAAATCCAAGTAAATGTAAGACCTACTACTTTGAATCATGTAATCTGGGTATTTTTGGCAGACCCAGTGTTATTTGGATGGGTATAGTTGGAATCGTCAGCTATAAAACCTGTGGCTACTAGTTTCATTGCATACTCTGACTTAAAAACAGGAAGAAAAATGAAAACCTTTACATAATTGACTTGACACACGAAAAATTCACAATCCTCAAGATTACTGGCTAGAAACTGAAATTTAGATTCTATAAGGAGAATAAAGTCAAATTGGGGATCATTTTACAAATGTAGCCCTTAATTCACTACCACTTGAGAATACCAAACTATCTTTTTTTAAGAAGGGAGCATGAGCCTAGCAATCCTACGACCAGACAAAACGGCTACATTTTAGAATAATCTCCACAGAGGTAAATTTTAGAATGCTTGTGTGCCAAATTTTCCACCTGACCTCTAGAAAGGCTGTCGTCTCCCTGAAATCTGATTGGGAGCTGAAGTGCAAGCATCATAGTATAAACATCAGTTTCGTGGCAGACTTTGTTGGCTGGCTACCGCAGTAACAGTTCCCAATCCCCTTTACCCCTGCACCTCCCTCTAGAGGCTGAAAGCCAGACACTCGCTTTCTCACAGCTAAGGGGGCACATAACCCAGTTCTGGACGGCAGGACATAAGAGGAAGTCCAATAGAGAGCTTCTGAGAGGGTCAGTGCTTTCCTAAAAAGGGGCAGCGCGGCTGACACCAGCCCCTCCATGTGTCTGCCTTCGACAGGGATGCACTGCTTGCTAAAGGCATCCTGACACCTTGAAAGAACGGGAATGCAAAGCCAACGGGCTCAAGGTGAAGAGGCAGGAAGCGAGCTCGGATATCGGACGATTATCCTTGTCTGCTAAACCACCAGCAACTGCCCACCTTTACCGTTCTTAGGTGAAAAAATAAACCTCTTTGTTTTGTTACTGTTGGCTAGGGTTTCTGTTATTTTTAGCAGAATGCCTGCCTTACTGATATATTTACAAACATTTAGAGAATATGGTGTACAATTACTTTAATTTAAAACAAGTTATCATACTTGTATAAATAAAAAACAGTCATACTGATGCCAAATAAGTCTAAAAATTAAATCCAGGAGGTCCTAGATATTTTCCCTTAACAATATTTTTTTCTGACTATAGAAGTAATATATTCACTTTAGAAATTTTACGAAATACGGAAAAATATATTTTTTAAAAACCTCACCATCCAGAAATAACCACTTTTTATACTTTGGTATATTTCCTTCTAATCAATTTTTATACATATACCAATACACAAAACTATGCTTTTTTATTTTCATAAGTTGGCATCATGCAGGATACATTTATTATTATTAATATATGCACAAAGTACTAATAATTCAGTAGCATACAAAAGAAGATAAAACTTAAAAATAAAAGTATCTCCTCCACCATTCGCACGCGTGCACACACATGCGCGCGCGCGCGCACACACACACTCACTCATCATCCCACTTCTCACACTTTTGGTGTTACACCTGGCTTCTTGATTTATCTCCTGTAACCACATCAACTGACTTCCCACTACGAGAGTGAGAAATTGAGTCCCCCTTCACCCTTCTTCCCAATTTTGATTACTTTTATTTTCATTTTTAGTTCTCCTATTGGTTGACATTATAATGTTAAAATACACTTAAGTCTCTATTTCTTGACCCATGAACATTAGATAGAATGTCTTAGTATCCAACTGTTTAAGATAAGCAAATTAGTGTCCCTAGATGGCAAACATTTTGAGTCATAAAGTTCAACAACAGAATTAAAATGTGACTATCATTTGGCTTTACCCAATCCTGAATGAGAAAGAAAACAATGTGTGTGCTTGTTGCTTTGGCACTAACTCATTTAATTTAAAAAGCGCGGGGAAAGACAGGAAAAGTATCACAACGAAGAAGAAAGACAGAAAACAACTGAAAGAACTTATAAATCCCACAATGAACTAAACAAAAACTGTTACAGACAAACATGAATTTTAAAATTATAAAAGACGAAGCATGAGGAGGAGAGCACAACACTGAGGGCAGACGACAGGGAAGGACACTGACTGAGTTCACACCTGTCTTCTCAAGAGAGCCATCGCAGCAAAGACTGACACCCAAGGTGCTGGGGAGACAGCAACTTCTCACTTTGAGTTCCAGCCACGCATCCATAATCTTTGAGAAATGCAGAGCATCAGATGGGTACTTTAAAAAGAAAGAAACCTGAAAAGGGCAAGTATCCTTATTGTTTTTATAGAGGAAAACACTGGGGGAGCCTAAATATTAAATATTAGTACAGTTGATGTCAAAGTTAGCAATATCCTATAAAAGATTATTGAATAATAATAGCAGTTATTGTTGATTAACTATTCCGTATGGCCCCCGCACTGTGGTAAGAGCTCATCAAACCTTATGATCTTAGAGTCTTACCACCATATAAAATAGACACTATTCTCATCACTACTCTACAGCTGAGAAATTTAAGGCATATTAAGTATTTTGCCCATAGTCACTAAAACATGACAAAGCCAAATTGAAATTAAATTCCATCCTCTTAACCACTGGACTAAACTGATAGCACATGAGTCCCTAAAAATGAGAAAAAGAGATGCAGGGGAAGTAAGAAGAGATTCATTAAGAGCAAGTTCTGTCAAACTAGTCACTTTTCCAGTTACCATGTTGTAACCACAAAGACAAATCTCTATGACATATTGTTAAGTGATTACGATGTCATTTATGCAAAGTGAGAGAAAACAAAACAATCCAAACGTTTACAGAGAATAGTGTAACAGTCTCATTTCTTTATTCACTCCCTTCCTGTCCCCTGCCTAACCTCTTGCATCTCAATCCCCTGACTAGAGGCAAATACTAGTTATAGTTTGGACGTATCTTTCCAGTTCCTAAATACTGAAGGAAAATTTTGGCTTTATACTGGCACATCATACCTGACACTCGCTATTTCTGAGAAGGAAAATGGGAGTGGACGAATCCTATCATACTCTGTTTACTGCTTGAATCTTTTACAAGAGAAATTCATATATTACTTATTAAGGATAATACAATTTTTTTTTTTTTGAGTAAGAATAGCCCTGAGCTAACATCTGCCCCCAATCCTCTTCTTTTTGCTGAGGAAGACTGGTGCTGAGCTAACATTCATGCCCATCTTCCCCTACTTTATATGTGGGATGCCTGCCACAGCATGGCTTGACAAGTGGTGCATAGGTCTGCACCCAGGATCAGAATCAGTGAACCCTAGGCCACCCAAGTGGAACATGCAAACTTAACCGCTGCACCACCGGGCTGGCTCCAATACAATTTTTTTTAATCATAATGATACTCAAAGAAAACACATCAAAAGTTTCTGAGTACGACCCCAATGGTCTCCTTGGAAGTGAAAAGTTTTATGCTAGACTATATAACAATTAAAAACTTGTACACGGCAAAAATATACCATAAAGTGAAAAGGTATATTCAAACCAGAAAAATATTTGCAATGACAAAAAGATTAATAAAACAAAGGTGTTCTGAATATAAAAAAAGCTCTCACAAATAAATAAGAACATATAAAATTTATCAGCCAGACTAAAGACATAGGCCTTATACATAAAAATTGATTAAGGATAAGAACAAGCAATTCATTTGAGGAAAAAAATGGTTAAAAGCATTAACAACAAAATTAAACCTCAGTAACAAAGATATATAAAATAAAACAGCAATATAATGACAAAAACTAAAAAGAATAACACCCAGTGATGGCTATGTTACAAGAAAGCAGAAACTTTTACATACTAGTAATAGGAATGTAAATTGGTAACATCTATACAACAAATTGGCATTTGTAAATGATTTGTATAAACAAAAGATAATAAAAGTTCCTTTAAAAGGTAAAACTGAAAAAAGGGACTGCACCCTTAGATGGCAGTGACAGCCTGACTGGGACAGGCTGACCATAGTCTCGCTGGCTTAAGGAGTCAGATTATGGAGTTCACAGCTGCCCAAACAGGTAGAAAGTGAAAGGGATATCCCACAAAAGAGGGAGACACAGAGGGGGAGCCCCAGACCTACAAATAAACTGTCCAAATTCTGGTTAACCCCTGAACTGTACACGCATTGGAGTCTTGTACATGCAGGACTCCAATGAGCCTGAATGCAGAAAGCAAAACGTGGAAAACAAGCACATTTCAGCTGCTCTTCACAACAGGGAAAATAAAGTGTGCAGTTTGAAGAGAATCAAGATAAGTATCAGTTAGAACAAAAACCAACTTCAGAGAAAATAACAAATCAGGAGTCTGTACGCGCTATCACCACAGTGAACTGCACACAGCTGAAAATTACCAGACACATGAAGAAACAAGAAAACAGGCAAAGAAGAAAAGCAATCAACAGAAACCCACTTCAAGAAAACCCCAATGTTGGGATTAGCAGACAAGGCCTTTAAACAGCTATTATAAAAATATTCAAGGACTTAACAAAAAATATGGTCATAATAAACGAGGAGATGAAGAAACTCAACAGAGAAACAGAACCTTTAAAGAACCAAATGGAAAAATTCAATGTAACAGTTCAGAGATGCCAGAAGAGTCAGGGAACTTACCAGCTTAATAGAAGTTATTTAGTCTAAAGAACTAAGAGAAAAAAGATTGAAAAGAATTAACAGCGTAATTAACCTGTAAGACATTATCATGTGATCTTCATAGGTATAATCAGAGCCCAAGAAGCAAAGGAGAGAACACTGTAAAATGTTTTTCAGAAATAATGGATAACAACTTCCCAAATTTGGTAAAAAACATAAATTTGTAGATCAAAAAAAAGTTCAGTTAATCCAAAACAGGATAAATACAAATAAAACACCAAAGCACATCATATTCAAACAGCTGAAAATCAAAGACAGAAAAATGTTGAAAGAGGCCTGGGAAAAATGACATGTTATACATAGGGAACAACACAAAATAACAGCTGACTTCTCATCAGAAATGATGGACACCAGAAGAAAATGAAATGACATCTTTAAAGTGATGAAAGAAACAAACTATCAAATCAGAATTCTATATAGAATGAAAAAATCCTTCAAAAATGAAGATGAAATGAAAACACTTTAAGATAAATTTAAAAATGAGTGTACTGGTTGCCAACAGATGTGCTCTAAAAGAAATGCTAAAGAAAGCTCTTCAGGCTAGAGGAAAACATCAGACAGAAACTCAAATCCATAGGATGAAATGAAGAAACAAAAAAACTGCAAATAAGTATATATAAAAGACTATATTTTTCCAGCTCTTCTTTAAAAGACATAAAACAAAAATTAAAACACTTTCATGGGGTCTATAACATATTTATGTCAAATATATATGAGAAGAGTAGCAAAGGTAGTCAGAGAGGGGTAAATACAACTATAGTATTACAAAGGTCTCATATTTTACAGGAAGTAGTAAAATATCAACCCAATATAGAACGTGATAAAGTTGCATATTGTAATCCCAAGAGCAGAGGTTCTCAACCTCAGCACAACTGACATCTGAGAGAGGGAGATTTTTTGTTTAGAGGGGGTCCCCTCTAAAATGGTTATGCTGGACTAACAAAACAGGTTGGAAAGTATTCTCCCCTGAATTTTTGAAGGAATTTGGATGAGTTTTATTTCTAACTTACATGTTTGATAAAGCGCATAAGTGAAGGTACCTCACTTGGAGCTTTTCCTATGAAACTTTTCATGATAAGTTCAACGTCTTTAATAGCTATAGGGCTATCAGATTTTCTGTTTCATCCTGTGTCAGTTTTGGTAAATTGTGCTTTTTAAGAAATTTGTTCATTTCATCTAAGTTGTTGATTTATTTGGCCTAAAGTTGTTCTTAATATTCCCCTATCCTTTAAGTGTCTGCAGGACCTGTGATGATAATCCTCTTATTAAATTCAGCTGTTGGTAAATTATGTTTCTCTCTTTTCTTTGATCAGTCTTGCTAGGGGTTTATACATTGTATTAATCTTTTCAAAGAACCAATGTTTTGCCTTAGTAATATTCCTCATCTTTTAGTTTTTATTATTGCTTTTGCTTGTCCTTTTCTGACTTCTTATGATAAAACAGCTGAAAATCAAAGACAGAAAAATGTTGAAAGAGGCCTGGGAAAAATGACATGTTATACATAGGGAACAACACAAAATAACAGCTGACTTCTCATCAGAAATGATGGACACCAGAAGAAAATGAAATGACATCTTTAAAGTGATGAAAGAAACAAACTATCAAATCAGAATTCTATATAGAATGAAAAAATCCTTCAAAAATGAAGATGAAATGAAAACACTTTATTTTAATTTGCTTGTCCTTTTCTGACTTCTTATGATAAAATATTACGTCATTAACTTTAAACCTTGTTTTCTTAAAAAAAAATAAGCATTTAAAGCTATGTATTTATCTTACTTCACTGCTTAACTGTATCCCACAAGTTTTGATATATTGTGTTTTCTATTATCATTTAGTGTAAAAGGTTTTCTAACTTCCCTTGTGATTTCTTCTTTGAACCATGGGATATTTAGAAGAGTATTGTTTAATTTCAAAATATGTAGGTATATTTTATATATGATACATAAAATATATATTTTAGATATCTTAGTGTTATTGATTTCTATTTTCTATTTGATGGTAATTACAGAAGAAACACTGTAAAATTTCATTCATGTGAAACTTTCTGTGATTTTTTTTTATGGTTCACCATATGGTCTATCTTGACTTCCCGCTCTTGTGGGTGTAGTGTTTTATAAATGTCTGGTCAAGATGGTTGACGGTGAGTCATATCTTCTGTATCTTTACTGACTTTTTTCTTTAGTTCTGTCACTTACTGAGAGGGGTAAAATCTCCAACTGTGACTGTAAATTTATGTTTTTTTATTCTGTCTGTTTTGCTTTGTATATTTTGAAGCTCTGTGTTTAGACGCATCCACATTTGTGATTATTCTATCTTCTTGATGAATTACATTGTTTATCCTTAGAAAATGCCCATCATATCTTTGGTAATATTGTCTGTCTTGAAATTCAGTGTGTCTAACATTAATATAACCACTCAAGATTTTTTATGATTAATATTTGCTGCATCTTACATCTTTTTCAAATGTCCTTTTACATTTAGCCTATCTGTGTTTTCTGTGTTTTATATTTAAACTGCCTTTCTTGTAGATAGCATATATTTGGGTCTGGTTTTTTCTTTTTTAATCTCATTTGACAGTCTGTAGCTT